TGGCCTGAACGGAAAACAGAAGGGCAAGAAAAGAGAAACGAGAGGGGGTGGGAAAAAAAATGTTCGCCATGTGTTGTCCATTAACAATATAACGAAGATCTTAGAACGATCCTGGAACGTATTGCACCCTTTTATACAGTGTGTACCAACACGGGTGATCCGATTTATCGAAATATTAAACAAATATAAAATTGAAAGTAAAATCAAACATAATAAACCACTGTAATCAATCGAAAACAAATTTTTAAATAAGATACAATCAAATTATTCATTTATACAATATATTAAACGGACACTTGGATATTGATTGAATAAAAAAACAAACAAACAAACAAACAAAATATCGAATATAAAATTTTGTTGGATTGAGAAATGATTTTAATTGTGATATAAATTTCACGTGTTAATTACATCCTGGACGTATAGAAGTACACCTTGTATATAATACTTGCGAAGAGAGCACGCGACTATCCAGGAAACGGGCAAAACGGGATAACGTTGAGGATAACGCAAAGGACGAGACACAGGAAAGACCCTTAACGAGCTTCGGCGACGGGGCATGCGCGTGAACATTGCACCGGCCAACTAGGCTGACTTCTCTAGACCGCCCGCATTGACGATGAAAGAGAAAGAAAGAGAAAAAAAGAGTGAAAGAGAGAGAGAGAGAGAGAGAGAGAGAGAGAGAGAGAGAGAGAGAGAGAGTATACACTTCACACTGGGATAATAAGAAATATGGTGCAGCCACTAATGCACCAGGTCCAGCGATAACTTTTTTACTGCGGCTTAGAGTCCCTTCGCAAAGGGACTTCTTTTCATTCTCTCTCTCTCTCTCTCTCTTTCTTTTTATTGCATTTTTAGTCTTGCTATTCTTTTCTATATAGTGTTCCAAAGGAATAGTATACTTCCTAGATATCCTAAGTCTTACCTTTCACACGCTAGAACTCGATTATGTACTCAAACCGATTGTTAGAATCAAATGATGTTCTATGACGACTGTCGAATTATGAGAAAAATGACAAGAAAAAAGAATAAAATAATATTGCAAAATTGAAATATCGTTTTTCTTCTTTTTTCTTTTCTATTTTAATATACAAGAGTAGGAAACGTTTCGACATCTATGATTCGTCTTGAAGTTTTGCTCTCTCTCTCTCTCTTTTTCTTTCTCTTTCTCTTTCTCTTTGGTTGTATACGTTATTCCACGATCGACGATGTGCAGTATTTATGGAGCAATAAATCGTACCAACAGAAATCACTTGCAACGTTCTTGCGTAAGACGATTATCGTCGCTCGTTGAAAAGACCTAAAGTTTCGTTTCACCAAAATCAATTGATTTGAGTTTACATATACCATATATATATATATATAGTTCTGTTCTCTTCATTTATTTGTATTTAATCTAATAATAATACGATTTGAGAGAGAGAGAGAGAAAGAGGAATAAATAATTTAAATCATACTATTAAAAGCACATGGTGTTTTTTTTTTCTGAAGGAAACGTTGAAAACCGATTCCGAATTTAATTACTCTTCTGTAAGCTCGACTAGCTCGATTTCAAAGTAATTTCGCGGAAAGAGAAGTGTGTGTATTTTTTGCGGACCACCTCGTCGGTAAACGAGTAAAAAGCGAATGGTCGAATGGGTGAATGGGCAAATGGGCGAACGGGTTCGTCGACCGACCTGGCGAGACGTTGATGATCATGCTTGGCCTTGACGGAACGCGACGCATTCGTGTCAACGCAAGGATAATCGAAGAAATAAAATAGTCTACTTGTTCCTGAAAGATCATCCTTTGGAATTTTTTCGTGATATTTAAACGCAAAATATTTTTTAAATTATTATATAGATGCACTTGATAATGCACATTCACGTTCGATACGAATACGATTTAATGAAATATTCTATTCGATATTTCATTGATCGATAATATAACGTCTCAATCTTTGTTAAATAATTTTACTTAAAAAAAAAACATCGTTTTTTTAATTTAACTATCATTAGAAGAATCCGACAAACGATAAGTACGACTTGTTCGTGTTCTAAAACACGTTTAGTTTATATTATCTTTCAATTTTATTTTCTATCTTTCATTATTTCTTTCTGAAAAGAGAGAAAGAAATGACTAGACTGGGTTATAGAAAGAAAGAAAGAAAGAAAGAGAGAAAAGTATCTTGGAATCGTATTCGGTGAGAGGGTTTGCGGGCTCGTAAAAGCAGCGGATGCCAACTATAAAATAATACAAGCGCCGGTTGGCTTTTAAGATAGTTACCTCGGGGCCCTTTACTGGCCATTAATTTTCCCGTGCCGGTATTCGCAAGATATTATTGTATCACTGTATCACCATACCTTTAGACTATCCCATAGGACGTTTAGTCACTTTCTCCTGTATGTTATCGAGTCGACACGGACCCTCGTGATTGGTAACGAGTGCGTCTTATCGTCGCGTAAATCGGATGCGATAGCAATCGATAGAATAGAATGCAACGATTTCCGTAAGCGGAAACAGTCTAACAAATTTTTTCACTTTTACGATCTAGTTTTGCCTTATTTTTTTTCTCTCTCTCTCTTAGTTTTTTTATTTTATTCTCTTTTGGTCCTATTCCCCATAGGAAATAAAATCAATACTAAATAACTATGCTGAAACGTGTATACGGTGAAACCTTATTTGCGGAGATTGGATTGTACCGTGATCATAAATTATTTAACATAAGTAATATACTGAGTATTTATAGATTTGAAAGACCTACTTGTCAACTATATATATGTGTGTATGTGTGTGTTGTTTTTTTTTTTCTTTTTCTTCTAATCAGAATTTACCGCAAAATGTTATTCCCGTATGTTATTAGATATAAGAGGAATTTATAAAAAATATATATGTAAGGTATGTAACGATAAATAATAGTTATATAAAACGATGTTTAGTTTTTAATAAACGTTATTCCATCTATTACTAATGTAATCTAATCTCGTACTAAAGTTGAACGGCCGGTTTAACGTTAAAGATAACTTTCGTCTGTCGTGATTCGTTTACGTAATATCTTTTTCTCTCTCTCTCTTTCTCTGTAAAAAGGGAAAGCCAAGAATCCCGTAATATCGGGACTGTTCAACAAGCTTAGACTTTATAGCATGCGTAACATGCGTTAGAGAAAGATAATACATATGCGTATACAAGATTGAACCGTCTTCCGTAACCGCAATATAATATATTACGCATTCTTGGTACTTGGTTCTTTCTTGGACAAAAGCCATTATGCTAAATCGACGAACTTTTCCTGATAAAATAATAGGAAAATTGTTATTTTAAGAAATATATATAAAAAAAAACGATGACAAATTTCTCGTCGTTTTGTTCAAAGATAATACGATTGTATCTTCTTTTTTTTTTTTTACTCGAAAATAGCGGGATCAGTGTTGACCTTGAGAGTAAGGTCAATACAAAGTGCACCGTTTCGGAACAACTCGGTTAAGAAAAGTTACGGTTATGCGTACGATAAATGCACGTACGCGTTTAATGAAATAATTAATTATATTATAGTATTATTATTATTATTATTATTATTTGATGTTATTAATGATTATGCATAACACACACACGCATACACATTCGTGCATTCCATTAACGTATTATAATAGAAGAGGAAGAAGAGAGAGGGATGTAAAAAAAAAAAACAAAAAAAAAAATAACATAAAAAGAGATCGATCTTTCGATAGTTCGATTAAATAATTCACGCCGTTAGTTTCAGCGTTAGGTACTTGATTATTGATTAGGATGTTATCAATTCCGAATAACACTTGAGCTTTTGAATAAGTTAGATGTGAGTTAGGCAGAGTGAACACGCCAGGAGAACAAAATTAGATCGATTAGTGTTGCTTGATTTTTCGAAAGTATTTTCGTTCTTATACCTTTCTTCTTCTTTAATTACAAAATATTCATCGAAACGAGTTAATTAAAAAAAAATATGTCCTGATACGAAAATCTATAATTTAATTATTCGAGAATGAAAATATAATTATAAATAATAAATAATAATTAACACACACAGAGTAAGAACAAAAACCAAGAGAACACGTGAGAACATGAGAAGTTAGATAGAAATGGAATTTCACGAGTTTCGTTTTCCAAGAAACGTACGTGTCCCGAGAAAAGTTTCAACCAAAAGGAAAAAGTGTGTGCGTTTGTGTGTGAGAGAGAGAGATAGATGAGAGTGCAACAGGTCGGTGCAGTCGTCACAAAGTTAGCGGAACGTCGCAAATAATTTTCACAATCTGTGGATCGCTCTAAGGGCTGGTCCATATTTTTTCTGGAACATAAGACCGTTGCTGTGCGGCAATCATTTTCGCGATCTCTCTCTCTCTCTCTCTCTTTTTTTTCTTTCTTTTTCTTTTCTCGAGAGTCACCAACGTAGATGAGAACGAAACGAGCTTGGCATTGCATTCTTTTCGCTTATATGTATTCATATGAGCACCTTACCGAAGAAAGTTCTCTCGGTTAATCTTGGAAAATATGAAACAACGTAACTGCATACTATATCTCTCATTGTCAGTAATTCAGAATTTATATCAAATTTAATTGGTTTACTCAATTTCATAAATTTCAAAAAATCTAAAGTTTACATGTGTCTCTAAAATTCCCTCAAAATATTTGCCATAATAAATCTAATATTTAAAATACGATTAATTAATATCGTCATATACAAAAAAACATAACATATTACTCGATCAACAAATTATCACGTATGTATATCAAATTTGTCCACATCTCCATTAATAACTGTAAAAATAAAGTAGAAGAAGAAGAAGAAGAAGAAGATTCGACGATTAAAAAATTCGTATTAAAAAAAAAAAAGAAAAATCAAGCAAGCAAGAAATAATTTCGTACCCATGGCGAAAGCTCTACTTTTGTCTTATTTTTTCTTTCTTTTTTCTTTTTTTTTTTTTTTCTTTTTCTTTTTTCTTTTTGCGCAGGCTTTCCATCTTGTTTTCGGCGCGAATGCCTAAACTCACCGATCCTCTTGACGTGGACGTCTCGATTGAAGGAGACGCTTCTCTCGGCGGGCTTCCACCCAGAGACGGAAGCCCCGGTCGTTACGGGGGGTAGTAAATGGGTGCTGGAAGGGTCGTAGGCCTCTCCCTTTCTCAAAGAGTCCGAGCGCTGAACCTCGAGCATCTTCCCGCCTTTATGCTCCCGATCATAACACACAGCTGGATAGCACCACTTTCTCGTTTTTGTTTTCTTTATCTTTTATACCCCTCTCTCTCTCTTTCTCTCTCTCTCTCTCTCTCTCTCCCTTTCTCTCCCTCTCTCTCTCTCTCTTTCTATCTTTCACTCTTTCTTTACCTATTTCTATCACCTTTTTATTTTCTCGCAAATGCACCCCTTTTTTCTTTCTAATCCCTTTCTCCGATCACCAACCTGTAAGCCAAGCAAAGCTGTGCACTTAATATCTTCGATCAATCCAATCGAGATTTTTGATGAATGACTTTCTTTTGATTTTACGATGATGTGATGTGACATATATCTATATGAGTTGTGTATTTTTATGAATATATATATGTTACCGTCATAACCAAAAATCTGCCATTAGCTAGTAACTTTTCAAAGAAATTACAAAGATGCATAATTTACAGCATTGCATTCTCTGACATTTTATGAAAATTTGCATATCAATTTATAAATCGAAAAGGTATTTTACATGTAGACAAAAGAGTTTACTTTAATTTAATACAAGTTTCATTAAAATCTATTCACTTTTAGTATAAAAAAATATTCACCAAAACTTTTCAAAGAAATTGCAAAGTTGTACAATTTACAGCATTGCAATCTTACATTAGTTACACAGATATTCATATTATTCAGATATCGTATCAGAAGATACACAGGTTTAGAGCGAAATGTTTTTTACCCGTATGGGTTGTTTTGGGGGGGAGGGGTTGCGTATGACTGTAGGTGTGTCTGTGCCCGAGAATGTATTCTTTTCAACGTTGTTCAAATATTAATTAATATTCTATAGAATATCAAAGTGTTATGTTCAATGCTTAGAAAAAAACTGTAAGAATTCTTCTGTTTCCGACTTCATCGGGGAATGCTTTTTGCATTGATGAGAATGCCGAGGAATTACCAGCAATGGCGGATTTCCGGCTATGACGGTAACATATATACATATGTACATGCGTTATTCTCTACGTCTCAATGAAAACTTCCTATCGAAAGATATGCGAAGTTCATAAAAGCGTCACAATCGCGTCGTGTGCATAAGACACGTGTGTTTGTGTGTGTGTGTGTGTGTGTGCGTGCGTGCGTGTTTATAAATGCATGTGCGTATCTATATACGTGCGTTGAGAATCTTAATTGAGTTGAGACGAATACGATAGATCGAATTCGTTTTAACAAAAAGAAAAAAGAAAAAGAAGAAGGAGAAATCGGTGCTATGCTCGGTAAGCGTGACGACGATCATCACGACGATGATGTCGCGTGATAACGATGACGATTACTTTCCTAACGATATTTTTTCAATGAATATGATTCATTCGGTTAATTATCCGATGGTTAAATACGAATGAAAGGATAAGAAAGATATGGATTATCTTTTACAACGATCCGACGTCTGTCAATTTGATACTTATAATACTTTCAAAAATTTATATTTATTATTATTATTATTTTTCTAAATTCTTCTTCTGTGTAATTTCTTTTTTCTCTTTTTTCTTTTCAATATCCAAGTAGAAATAAATTGATAACGTCACAAACAAGTAAGGATTAACATTCGTATAATAATCTCTTGGATCCCCAAAAAAGAAACAATACAATACAAAACAAAAGAAAAGAAAAATAATCAAATTAAATAACTGGAAGAAAGTGTAATAAAACAATTTTAGTATGGCCTGAAAATGTGAGGATTATTTTTAATCCTTGATAGATCTCAAGGTCAGACGCTTGACCACGACGCGATATAGAAGGGGTAGAATACCATGACTCAGCTACTTTATCAGTTCCAACACGTGAAAGAAGCGACTTTTAAATGAGACAATTCGCATGAGGGCCATTCACGATCGAAGGATTAAGATACTCCTGCCGGGCCTCTTGGTAGCCATATTTGGCGAAGAGGTTCGCGAGGGCGGACTTCCCTCACCTCACCTTCGTCCTTCGCCCTCCTTTATTTCTTTTCTTTATTCTCTTTCTTCCCCCTCTTCCTCCTCCACCTCCTCCTCATTCTCCTCTTTTTCTCGACGTCCTCGTTGGTTCGTCCACTTTCTCTCCTTTTTTTTTGTCCCTATTGAACGCTAATTTTTTATTTGTTATATTGAGAAATTGTATTGAATAAAATATACAAGAATTATTAAATGATTAATGCATTCGAAACTTTGGTCTTTCCTTCCGGGTAAAATATTCTTCTTTATTTTCTATGCAATATTCTTCGAACAATTTTTTTAACTATATTTTTGTATGTTCTCTCTCTCTCTCTCTCTCTTGCATTAATACAACGGAACTAATGGAAAATTTATTCTGTCATACTTGTTTAACGCGTGAGTTGTGCTAGAAGAACGCAACAGATCCGAGCAAATGCATCAGCGTAATATACGTTGCGATTATCTAACGTATATCGCTTCAAGGACACTGATGTAATAAACAGTCACGTTTCTCGTGCACATGTTTAACACCTTTTTTCATCGACTTTATTACACTACGTGCACACAGTATGAAAGAGAGAGAGAGAGAGAGAGAGAGAGAGAGATAGAGAATTGGCGACAACGGCAACTACGACGATAGAAATCAAAGATGACCGCACACAAATATTATCATCGTAAATGTTTTCGGAGAAGTATAAAGTCGTTTTGAAGGAAAAATCTTAGGCCAATGAGAATTTAATGAAAGACAACGCGGACGCGAACAAAAGAAAAGATCAAAAAATATGACCGAAAAAATTATGAATTTTTTCTACGACTTGTTTTTTAAAATCTCTCTCTCTCTCTCTCTCTCTCACGCACGCATATGCGCACACACGCATGCTCGTTTTTATTTTTCATCGCGAAACGAAAATTAATGGGCGGGGAGGGGGGGGGAGAGGAGACTTGTTTTCGACTCGTTAGTTTTTCAAAAGTTGACGCAAACTCTGACGCACGGAATATACTCGCGTGTTTCGTTTTTTTACGTCGAGTCGGTATAATAAATTTGCAGGAATGTTTGCAAGGAAAACGAACAAAAAAGCGGACGTGCTTATATTTTCAACACGAAGTTTGGCTAGTCTCGTCAATATAAGGAACGATCGTCATCCTTCTTTGGAATCCTGCTGAGAGAAGAAAAATAAAATCGGTCTACGAAGATGACGATTATCGTCTCAAATCAGGGAAAGAAGGGAGAAGGGGGAAGAATATGGTTTTAACCTAAAGTAAAATTATCTATCTTAACGTAATACAATTATTATACAATTACGTGGTATTGCGCACACGTGAAAAAAATATATTATGTATGACGTTTATCTATTGTCAAAAAAATGTAATAGAAAAATATGAATTAAATAAAAATTACAACAAAAAAAAATGCAATGTTACGATATTAACGCATTATTCTAATAAATAAAAAAGTAAAATAAAATGATTACCTATTATATTATCGAGCGAATTAAAAATATGTAGGATAGATGTGAACGGTTTTCTTGTCTCGAACAGACTGTAGAACACTCTGACACATTTGTTTACATATTCTCCTTCCCCGTTTACATACGATCTCTATACTTGTAACTGAAAAACATTGTCAGACAACAACAACACGTGAGAACGGTGTTCTAACGTATATTATACGAATACATACACAAATAACACCGAGTTATTTCTTTAGTATAATTTCATTCGTTTTTTCGTCCTCGTCATAAAAACCGGCCGTACGAAAGAAGAAGGACTCGTATTTTGCAAGATTAACGAAGGAACGTGGTAAGAGATCATCGCTAAAGTTGTATCTTTTTAAGAATTCTTATTATCTTTCTCACCAATTCTGCGAAACGTTCGTTAGCAACGGCCGAAACCTCATCTGTTCACCGGTCTTTATTTTTTTACTCTTTCTCCTTTTCTTTTTTTTTCTTTTTTTTTTATATATTATATCTTTCTTTTTTATCACCATTTAACGCGTATCGAAATCGAATAATAAAATATACGAATATATATTATTATATTTTGTTTTCTCACCTAAGGTAAGAAGAATTTTTACGAAGTACGTATATGAATATAAATCTTTACATTTACGAATCCTCGTATCATTGTGCGTTATCCTGATCTTTTTCTCTTTCGTTTTCGCACATATAAATACATATGTTTATTTTTCATTCCCTGCTCACACAGCAACTCTCTTTCTTTATTTCTCTTAAGTTTTCTTCATACAGAGCCTTTGTACATCTTTATTTCTCGTAACACCGTAATAAAGGTAAGTAGTAAGGGCGTGTTAAATCTTAATAAAACCGTTCGAGATTTGGTCACGGGTATGGTGCCTTGGGTATTCGCACTTGAACACGAAACCGGCGCCTACCTTCGTCCGGTTGCTTCAAAACAACCGAATCGGACAAGCGAAACAAAAGAGGAAGTGAAAAGTTAAAGGGGGAACAGAATCTGAGTAAGTAACAGGGGAGAATTATGAGAGAGAGAGAGAGAGAAAAATACGAAATTTTGGATCTCTTCGTAAACGCGTCAATTACTACCGTAAATTTGTACCTGAATGTTATCGAATAACGTCAGAAGTGACGTTATCGTATCTCGTTTCGTATCGTAGTTGTTAATTCGAAATTTTATTGGAATTTTATTTGATACAAGCATGGAACAGACGTATTTTGAATCGAAATCCTCTCTCTCTCGAAGGAAAATTGTTTGAAAATTTTATGCTGTAATATAATATATTCGTAATTACATCGTTTCTTATATCTTTGATTGAAATCTTTTGAATAATTAACAGAAACTTTTTCAATTGTGTTTATTGCATAAAGATAATATGTTTATAATTTATTGCGATAATAATTAATAACGATTTTCATTTATTATTCGTTTTGTTTCATTTTTATTTCGTAGAATTGATCAAGTTTCCTCGCGAAACGCTTGCTTACGTAATTGAACTTAACATGGTATACTGTACTTTATTAGCATCGAACTACGAACGTATAGTCATTATCTTTCTTCCTTATCAATCGATCTATCCGTAAGGAATGATTTCGAACGAAATTCTACGAGAAGATGAAGATAATTAATAAACCATAATCAAATGCTTTCTGCGATGCGATTATTCGTTGAATTACTAGTCTCCACGATAAATATG